CCAGACGGTCAGCGCGGTACAGGAGGAGCAGGCAGAGGCAGAATCCAGATAACAAGCAGAGGTCAGGGGCAGGCAGCGGTCAGTCAAGGTCAGCAGCAATCCGAGTCAAGGCAACAGGCAAACAAATAGCAGGAACACAGAGCGCGAGCTGAAAGACCGTTCATCACTGATCCATTGGGCCAGCTGGTTTAAATAGAGCATTAGATTAGAGAGCAACGTGTCACTTCCTGTGCGCCACTTTCCTCTGTGAGCGCACAGGAAGTACCAGCTATCCGGAAGGCTGGAACTCGCGCATGCGCAGTAGTGCGTGAACTTCTGGCTACGGCCTTACATTTCCTTTATTTCAAGTGCATGTGAAGAAAAAGAGGGACTCTTGAAATCCCTGAAACGCGTTGGATTTTCCTGGAGATTTGAAATAGAATTGTGTTCTGGATGTTAGAAGTGGAGAGGAGCTTCTGTTCTTTACCCTGTCACTCTATGGACTACCTACAAAAGTCCTAGAAGATAGAGCCATCCTCTGGAACTCTTTACCCCAACCTATCCGTCTATCTCCCACCTTGACTGCCTTTAGGCGATCCCATAAGACTCATCTCTTCAACCATCACATTCCCAAACAATTCATCCCCACACAGCTCCCTCCTCATGTATCACTGGCCCCTCCCTGTTAGATTGTAAGCTCTATATATATATATCCACAATCTCAGAAAATGAGAATATTGTGACAATGTGCAATATTCTCGGCTCAAAGTGTCCCGCTCTAATCAGCTAATTCAGCTATAAGAGGAGACCCGCACCAGCGCTGGAGGGACAGATGAAAAGGACAGTAAGGAAGAGGAAGATCGGATTAGGAAACATCATTTAAGGTAAGTCCTAACACTAACATTGGGAGGAGGGGAAAAAAATATATATATACTTTAATGTCACTTTAACTTTATTGCTAACAATCCCTTGTGAGATAGCATTTGGAGGTGACAGGTTCTCTTTATGGAACATGTCACCTCCAATACAGGAGTTTTAGCACGGCACTGTGCTGGCTCTTCCCTTAGTACAGCGTTCCTGTCTCACTGTTAACACGGAGCAGACCAGAAAATGGACATTCTCTGCTCTGCTTCCCGCTGTCCATCCTGAACTAATCTGCCATGGTCCTGGTCCCCGAGAAGAGCAGGGGACCCTGAAAACCACAGGGAGGTAGCCAGCGGGCAGAGAGGCACCGGCGGTGGGACAGACCATGGCGGGGG